GTATTCACACTGGGTCTTTTCTCAGGCACTTCAAGCTAGGCGAGCTGGTGGCTAAGTCTCATCACAACTGATCCAGGTGGATGTTGGGTCTGACTGATGTCACTCCATAAACGCGGCATACATGTTTCCCAGGAGGTCTAAGACCAATCAGTAAGGGTGCAGGGCTGAAATCCACCTTCATGCATCTCCAGGTTCTCATCCTGCCCTGTTTGCACTGTGAGAGGCTTCCTTGACATCTTTCTGCAGCAACCCAGCACCTTGTTCATCCCCACCAACAGGTCCCCCCTAACTTGGTTCCAGTTCATGGCTGTCTTATGGGCCTGTCTGGCAGCATCTGCCCCCCCACCAGCCAAATACAGGGGGCATGCCTTTAGTGTCAGGGCCACTACTGCGGTGCCTGAGCTCAGCTTGCAAGAATCGTCCATACAGGCCATCAGCATGTATCAGGCCAGTCCTTCTAGTTACAGCACTCCACCTCTGTCTAGGTCTGCAGGCACAGCAATGTGCACTGGGCTGGAAGATACATCAAATCGACAGTTGGGGTACACACTTTGGCTTGGATAGCTTCTTGTACATCTCTTGGATTGGGCACCACAGCATGCAGTGGGACAAACAGGTACTAGCTATCCTGAATCAGGTCAGGCTGCATGTACCTTCAGATGCTATCATCATCCAGCTTGGAGAGAATGACCTCACTTCCTGCAAGAGCCTGGACCCAGCAATTCAGGTTGTCCTACACACCCAGTTCCCTCCACATTAGTCTTCTGGTCAGACTTGTTGGATAGGCGAAAATGGTGTAGTACACACAACCCTGAAAAGGTCGATATGGCCAGGCGGAAGGTCACCAAGGCAGTGGATGACTTTGTGATTGCACTAGGAGACCAGCTGATCCAGCACCCAGACATCTTGTTCAGGCAGGAGGCCCTCTTTAGGCCAAACGCTGTGCACCTCTTGGACTGAGGGCAGGACTTGTGGCTGCACAGACTGCTGAGAGGTCTTTGGGAGTGATTGCAGCTTTAGTAGATTTGGCAGGAGAAAGGTGTGTCACTTCACCTGCATCTAGTGGTGGTTTTGGCATTGGTCTGAATCCATATAGAAAAAGACTGGACCTGCATGCCCATCATCCCAGTTGGGTGTCCCATTAAGGGACCTTGGGGTGGAGAGAACAGGCAGGAAGGGGGAATCAGTTCAATTGCTTTCCAGATTGACCTCAGTCTACCTTCATACAAATGCTAATGGGTCTAGACAATGGGATGGGCAAGCCCCCCCCCCCCCCCTTCAAGAGGGGAACACAGATCTGGAGGAGTTAAATACTAGAGAGACTTCAGGAAGGAAAATTCTGGAACTTCCAGAAAAGCTTCTCTGACCTAGTCAGTGGGTGGGGGAAAGGGAGAAGATAAAATTCCTGGAAGCAAAGAGAAAGGTCTCTTTTTGGAACTGAGACTATCAAAGCAGACAGAACTCTTAACTGAGGTCTGGAAGAGGTGGCCATTAGCCATGTATTGCTATGGACAGCTGAAGGAAGCTTCAAGGTCTGTAATTTCCTAGGCTAAGAAGCCTGTCCTATATTTTAACATCTGATAGGGCATGTAGGGTGAGAGGGACAGAGGAATTGCATTTTACCCATTTCTGTTGAATCTCTTGCTTTATTATTATTATTATTATTATTAATAATAATAATAATAATAATTTAATTTATACCCCCACCCTATCCCACAAGTGATCTGTACTAAAAAGTATGCTTGTGAACATTTTCTTTTTAATAACCACTTTATAACTTTTGCTGCTGGTACTGGTTCTCTGTACCACATACACTTCCACCGTCTTGGACACGCTATTTTAAAAGGAACACCAGGCAGAAAGCAGGCAGTTGGCAAGCGGCTATTCCTCCAGGGGCGCACAAGGCAGTCAATGATCCCCATGGTGACCAGGCACTGGGCAGCAGGAGACACAGAGGCAAGGCTTCAAAACTTGGGAAGGAACTGGGGAGTCCTGACCCTCCCAGCGGGCAATTCCTTACAAAGGTCAGGTGGTGGCACTGGTTACCTGAGAGAAAGAAAAGCCTCTCCAGGTGTTGGGAAAACCTTAGAGGGCAGGGTGAAATAGGGCCTGCAGGCCAGCACAGGCCCGTTCCACCACAATTTTGGTGGCATGGTGAGATAAGAACAAACAGAGAACTTGATTGGCCAGGCATTTTGAATTGGCACGTGAACACATAGAGAGAGCAATGGAAGGGGTTTTCCCCCCCTGGGTCGACTGGAGCAGGGTCAGATCAGGCTATGTAGGATGGACTTAGCTGAGCAAGTGAGAATACTGAAGCTGACAAAGCGAGAGCTGCAGGATGAATGTCAGAAGCAGCAGATAGATTTTGAGAACAGGACTGCTGATGAGATGAAGGCTCCCCTGCTAAGCTGTAGCAAGTCAATAGGGGTGGCTGCAGCTGAGCACCGAAGCCAGCAGGACAAGGTCCAGCTCAAGGAGCTAGAGCTGAGAAGTTGTGTTTGCAGGCAGAGAAGAAAATAGAGATCCAGAAACTGAAGATGAGGCAGGAGCAGCAGAAGGAGGAGAGGGAGGCCCACAGGCTCGAGAGGGAAGAGAAGCTCCAGGAGAGGAAGGAAAAGATGCAGGCGGAAAAGTGAGAGGAGCAGTGAAGGATGCAGAAGGAGGCAGCAGTGGTTACCCAAGAGAGAAAGGAGAGCATCTCCAGGTGTTGGGAAAACCTTGCCAGGGCAGGCTGAAACAGGGCCTGCAGGCCAGAGCCGGCCTGTTTCGCCACATAAACAATGAAATATTTCCTCTCAGTCAACTTTCAGAGGAACCATTAATTTAGTTTTTATTTAAAACACTGCAGCCATGGATTTTTAAAATAATACTTCTAATCCATTTTATCTCCTCAAACTCAATTACCTATCTAGGATTTGTGCCATACTAGCAGTAGTTCCACATTCTTTCTGCATGCTTATGCAAGATCTGTCCTCAAAAGCCGATAGGCTATGAAAGAAACACTTCCTTATTTGTCTGCGTTTGGCAGAACAGGCTACAATTGCCCCGGTAACTCATGAGTATTCCAGTGTGCATCTAAAGGTGCATCTAGGGAATAGATTCAGTAGCGCTACCTATGCTGACCAAGAAGTTACAAGTGCTCATGAGGGGGGTGTAGTTAACGTACTTGAGTCCCTTGCCCTTTCCCTTACTATGGTTAGGAATATGGGTTTACCAGGAAGCACTGAGGATGGTCAGGAAGAGGATAGTTGACCTTTTAAAAAATAGTACACAGAGCACTGCAAAGACTGTATGCTCAGCTTCTGAAACAGGGACTTCTTTGCCTCTTCCTTCACATTTAAATTTTCTCAGAATCCCTTGTCACAGGTGAAGTGAATGTTCTGCCAGCTGCAGAACTGAGAGTACACTTTACTAAAATTCCATTTTCAGATTGTTTTTGGGGTTGCACGTCTAGTGCAAAAGATACTATACTGTCCCCAGATATCTTTCAATTATTCCTATCCTGGCTAGAGATCAGCTTCCTGATAAATCCTGGATGATCACTTTTCTTCGCAGATTCTGATCCAGAAATAACTCGATCTGTCACCACATGTTTGGCAACTGTGATCTCCTTAAAATGCTACTAAGATGGGTTCAAGTTTGGTGACTTTTTAATGGGAAAACTGTATTTGACTATTGTAATATTTTATCTTGCTGTGTGTCCTACTGTACTGTATTGGTTTTATGCTCAATAATAAAGTGAAAGGCTAATTGAGAAGAATGGAACAAATACACAGTTCAGCAGCTAAGTGACTCCAGGCAGAATATGGTGGAAAAATCCAGAAGACTTAGGTGAGTGGACGGACTAATTGACTGGTCCAGTGCATTCAAACCTTTGTAAAGGGATATGGCTCTGGTTCTCAAACTTTTTAAAGTGAGACTCAAATCTTAACTTACTTTCTATGCAAGCAAATCCTTAAACAAAAATCACCATTATTTTTCTCCTCCCTAGCAGAAGAATTTCACATCAGTGAACAACTTCATACTTTTACTCTGTAGTATTTATAAATAGATAGCATTCTTAAGCAACAAGATATATTTCATAGTATTTTCACACATTACACAGAGGCAAACTCAAATTTCCCTTCAAGCCTCTCAGAACCTCCTCTCTCTTGGTTCCACAACCAACCTGCAAGACAGCTCTGACTTGCAATGGTAATTCATTGTAGAATTAAAACAAGCAAAATCAAGGGCTAGAGATCTTAAATATTATGAAAAAATGTTTTATAAATAAATTAAGGATATTTAATTATAACAAACAACAAATCTCATTTAGTGACACAGAGTCTTGCAGCACCTTAGAGATCAACCAATTTATATTGTGACACAGGCTTTTATAAACAAGATTTAGTTTTGTCAAAGACATAAAGTGTGTCATCATTTGGTGAGCAAAATAAACACACTGGCATAGCAGAAAAAAATGTGACCACTGGTGCAAAAGGCAAAGTTAGGGTTCAGTCGCAATTATGGGATCTTCCTCAAACAGATATCCTTGATTTGCTTATGAAACTTTTTTCCATAATATTTTAAGACCACGAGCCTTCACATTATTTTCGTTATACAATGAATTAGCCTGATAATATAATACCAGACCCCAGAGGTACTCAAACTGTGGACTGAGACACTAATGTGAGTCATAATATGTGTTAAATTAGGTACGCAAGTCAAGAAAGATGTTGTGTGATCACCTATTACTGCTGCTGTGAACAGTCACTGTGTTTATCGTACGCACCTTTGGGCTCTGCAAAGAGATGTCACAGACTGTAGCTCTTGCATTTCATCATCTCTTTTCCCCTCTCCAACAGAGGACTTTGGGCAACTGATGAAACAGACTTCAGCCCACACTAAATGTTAGTCTTTAAACTGCCACAAGGCTCTTTTTTGTTTTTGTTACAATAGAGTAAAACATCTGTCCACACGCAATTTAGTGACAGTTGCATTCAAGGCATATTCTTTACCGTAGGGGTATTTCGTGTCAAGTTTACTATCTGCTGTTCTTGACCAAGGCAGCAAGTCGTCACTGCATCCATTGGGCATGCCGTTGTACCCAATCCCAACTATCTTGTTTTCTGAATTCACAATGCAAGCGCCAACCTAAAACGAAATAGAGTTACTGTTGAGTACTACAGGTTAGTTTGTTATTGTGAGAGCTGGGTCACAAGCCTTGTAATAATAATGATGTGTGTGTGTGTGTGCGTGTGCATACACACACACACACACACACACAAGTTTAAACTCAGTTAAATGATACACTTTCATTCAGTGTTCATAAATTTCTAAAGAAATTCCGACCACAACCCTATGGGGAAAAAATAAGATTAAAACCCATCTTTTGACGTTCACTTAAATTCCGCAGATGACTAAAAAAACAGTTTGTCTACATTACCTGTTGTTGAAGAACCTGCTCCAGTTTAATGTGTGACTGAACTGTTTGACATCTATGAAGAAAACATCTAAGCTTTGATGTAAGTTTCTCCAGAAACTAGGCTTGCCAAATCCAACAAGCATTGTTCCAAAGAGGGCAAAAGTTGCCAACGTATTATTTGACAAACAGGAATAAATGCAAAAAAATAACAAGGCAAGCTTTGCAAAAAATAAATAAGAAAAGAGGAAGACCCAACATGAGATGGATTGACTCAATAAACGCAGCCATGGTCTTCAGTTTGCAAGACTGGTAATGATAGCATGTTTTGAAGGTTCTTGATTCATAGGGTCGTCATAAATCACAGGCAAGTTTATGGCACATAACACACAAACATAAGGTATGGCTAGCTCATATTGTAATCACAAATGCCCTGATTTCGTCGGCAGTTATTCCCATCAGCTATATGAAACCATATATTAAGAGCAATTAGACTTACAGAGAACCAAACACCTTCCCTGCGGTGCCAGTTCAGAAAACGTTCCCGAAGGAGAAAAGCACTTCAAGCACAGAACACTTAAAGCCACATTTCCTACTTGTAGGTTGGGACAGCCCAATCATTACATTTCTTCTAATGAGGAAAAACTTATTGCTGTATGGTTTTTCGATAGACAGCACAATATAACATGCCTGGATGCCCAGTCCTTACCTGTGAACTCGGATCCTTGCTTCTTTGAGCTGACAAGAAAGCTACAGCCATAAAATATTCAGGCCATTCCAAATAGTCATCACGTTTCTTACAGGGCATTTCACAGCAGCACCTACATATTTAAAAAAAATGACAGTACCAGTAATGGTTTCATGAACTTTTCTGTATTTTTTTAAAAAGAATCTATTAGGTGTACTTTGACCCTTGTGTTTGAATCTCTGGAAGTGTCAATTACTGTTATGTAAAATTCCAGAGTGGCATCGGAGTTTAATTAGTACAACTAAGAGAGCAGCATCTGACCCTGAAGGTTACGGATTCAAATCAAGAATTTAATGGCGGAGAATATCAGTGTTTCATGTGTGCCCTGGGCCTTGCAAGCAACACTTCTTTGCAAACCAAAAAGGCCAAAAGGAGACTGAATTATCTCATTTAAAGCAGCAATTTGCAGTCTTTAGGCAGCACAATACCAACTATTATCCATCCCTCAGCATTACCTTCTTTGGAAAAACATGCAAAAGGTTACATTCCCTGCTCCAACATTTAAGTTACTGGAGCAAAGATATCTCTTCGGCCAACAGTAAGCATCTGGTACAATTCCATTTGCTGCAACCAAAAAATAAACAGAATATGAAATGTTCTTTGTGAAATACTTCTTTTGGTGTTACTAACTCTTTCTAGGTGACCTCCCTGCTGACCCACCACCCTCCGACCTCCACGCATTTAATTGACAGTCTAAAGGCAGCATCATGCATGCATGCCTCTCCACACACCCTGACACTCCATCAAACATATTTTGAAAAAGTATGAACCCATACAAAACTTGTTTATAATCATCCTACTTTTGTATCTGATTGATACACAGCACAAGCAGTAATCCATCTTTCAACCCACCTTCAACTTCTGAGAAAAACATAATTTATCTCCTCCTTCATACAAGTTCACTCTGTCTTGTAATAACTAAAAATCTAATTAGCAGATTTTCTGTACACCAAGACATCATTTCCTATTCTTCAGAAGGGGACCTCCCATACCAAACAACGTGAAATTGCTGTTTTGGAAATGACCTGCAAGGTACATGGACAGAAAAGGGACCTGTACTCTTATCCCCCCCCCCCCGATGTAGAAACTAACCATTAAGCGTTTTCCTACCAAGATTACATGTGGAGGCTAAGATTAAGCTTCCACAGTTTTGTTCTCTCTCTCTCTCTCTCTCTCTCTCTCTCTCTCTCTCTCGCCACAAAGCAACATGAAGGACCAGAGAACTTCTAACTACTTGCACCAATGTTGTGGTTGTGGCGTGCTGAGAAGAAGAAAAATCTTTTGCTCTGAGTTTGGTTTCATATTTGGAAGTGATTGACACAGACTAAAAAATTCCCTTTCTCTGGAACCACACCAGTACCACTCTTCTTCATGATGTCACTTTCTCACTGACATCCAGTCAGCCACGAAGACTTCAAGAGAAAACATACAAGACAACTTGTGAAGAGTAAGAAAAACACTTTTCTTTCCAACTTTCCAGTTCCTAAGAGAGCCCACCTGAAGGACAATCATTACTTTAGCCCAAACTAAGATATAAGAGGTGTACTGTGTATAAATTGCATTTAGCTAAGATACCAGTCAGGACGAGGCAATTTGTTCATTGCATCATGACAGAGGGTCAGTTTAAAGGCTCAAGTGAGCCTAGGCTTGAAATTAAACCATTTCAGCTCTTGCTGAAATACAAGGTTTCAGTAGGAACAACAGCATTCTTTCAAAGCACTTGATGACTTATTCTCCCAGCAAAGCAGTTGCTGAGTCCTAGAAGACGGGGACGGCAAAGGATGAGATGGTTAGACAGTGTCACAGATGCAACAAACATGAAATTGAGCAAACTTCAGAGGACGGCGGAAAACAGGAGGGCCTGGCGAGATCTTGTCCATGGGGTCGCGAAGAGTCGGACTCGACTGTGTGACTGAACAACAACAAAAGAATCTTCACAACACTTTTCCATAGCACCAAACCTCAGATACAGTTGACCCTAAGGTCACAAGGATTTTTGGCACGCCATATTTTCTAGTAATCCTTCCTAAACTAAGAATTTTACAGAAACAGGCAAAATGGTGAATGAATCGACCACCATTGTGCATTTTGCAGAAAACACGATTAAGGGTTTAATCGTTTAAGTGATGTATGAAAGAGAATGCTATCTGAAACATGGTGAAACTGGACATATTTAGGAATGTGGCAGCAAGAATTCCTTGGCACACTCATTTTTAATGTGACATTAGGCATGGTCACAGTCACATGAACAGAGGTGATGCAAGGTGTATGCACCCAAGGTCTTTTAGTAGGAGAAGGAGGAGGGGAGGGAAAAGGAGAAGAATGATTTATACCCTGCCCTTCATTCGGAGTCTCAGAGCTGCTTACAATCTCCTTCCCTTCCTCTCGCCACAACAGACACCCTGTGAGGTAGGTGGGGCTGAGAGAGCTCTGAGAGAACTGCTCTTGAGAGAACAACTCTGAGAGAACTGTAACTGACCCAAGGTCACCCAACTGTCTGCATGTGGGGAAGTGGGGAATCATACCTGGTTCTCCAGATTAGACTCCACCACTCTTAACCACTACACCAAACTGGCAGAAGGCATTATCTCACTCCCTTCCATGCATTCATTTCTATATAGATTAACTAATGCAAAGACCTAAAGAAACCAAAATTCTATTGTCTATGGATCATATTTACAGCCAGATAGACGACTACGTCTTCCACCTGCTCAGCTATAAAATTGTTTCCCAGAACAGGTAGCTTTTCAGGCTTTTTTCATACCACTGTAAGTCATCCAATAAAATATCTCATCACATCATGCATATAGTTTTATGACATTTTTAAAAGTCAAAAGGACTTCACTGAAGAACATGGAAAAGTCAGTAACTCTGAAACAGAGTACCACAAAAATTTTCCCTTCAAGACCAGCATAAAACCGAGTCCTTAAGAGTTGTACACTTACAATGAGCAATAGCTAAAGTCTACCAGAATGAGTTATATAACATGGCGCTAATAAAACCAACACTGTGGACCAAACCCTATAAGAGAGTTAATGTGGTACAGTGATTAGACTAAAACCATAAAAACGGATAAGTGTTAGTCTGCAGCAGTAGAAAAGAGTCCAGTAGCACCTTAAAGGCTAACAAAATTTGTGGTAGGGTATGAGCTTTTTTGAGTCACTGCACCTGAAGTCACACACACTAAATAATCTGCTTTCAATGAACTTTTAGTGCACTTTCCAACTGGATTTTACTGTATGAACTGACTGAATCACAGTGAGTCACTGCATCTGTAGAAGTGACCAGTGACTCATAAAAGTTCAATAAAGTAAAGGTAAAGGTTTCCCTTGCTCGAAACCTAGTCAAATCTGACTCTAGGGGGCGGTGCTCATCTCCGTTTCCAAGCCGAAGAGCCAGTGCTGTCTGAAGACATCTCCATGGTAATGTGGCCGACATGACTGGATGTCGAGGTGCACGGAACGCTGTTACCTTCCCACCGAAGCGGTACCTATCTACTTGCAATTTCTTGCTTTCGAACTGCTAGGTTGGCAGAAGCTGGGACCAGAGATGGGAGCTCACTCTGTCATGCAGCACTTGGGTCGCGAACTGCCAAACTACCAACCTTCCAGTCTGCAGCTCAGCGTTTTAACCACTGAGCCACCGCAGCCCCTAAAAGCTCAATAAAGGTAAAGGTAAAGGTTCCCTTGCTCGAAAGCCAGTCGAGTCCAACTCTAGGGTTGCGGTGCTCATCTCCATTTCAAAGCCGAAGAGCCAGCGCTGTCCAAAGACGTTTCCGTGGTCATGTGGCCAGCATGACTAAACACCAAGGCACCCGGAACGCTGTTACCTTCCCACCGAAGTGGTACCTATTTATCTATTTGCAATTTCTTGCTTTCTAACTGCTAGGTTGGAAGGAGCTGGAACTAGAGACGGGAGCTCACTCCATCATGCGGCAACTCGGGTCTCGAACTGCCGAACTACCGACCTTCCACAGCCTGCAGTTCAGCGTCTTAACCACTTGAGCCACCGCAGCTCCAAAAAGCTCAATACCCTACTACAAATCTTGTTAGTCTTTAAGATGCTACTGGACTCTTTTCTACTGGACTAGAACCAGGGATACTTGAGTTCATATCCCTGTTTGCCATACCATCTCTGGATGACCTTTGGCCAGTCATTCACATTCAGTCTAACCTACCTCAGTTTCAGAGGTGTTCCATAATATACAATCTAGATTCAAGTCCAGTAGCATCTTAGAGACCAATGAGATTTTCAGAGCATAAGCTTTACAGAGTCAAAGCTACATTATCAGAAACAGGTCAGAATGTAGGCCCCTGAGTCCTTATATGCCAGTCAGAAGGTAGGAGGGATGCTGCAAAGAAGGCAGTCATGATAGAAAGGTACAATAGATTCAGGGATCTCCATTCCTACTTGTATCTGACAAAGTGAGTTTTGACTCTCAAAAGGTTATGCCCTGAAAATCTTGTTGCTCTCTATGGTGCTACTAGACTTAAATCTATCTCACAGTGTGGTTCTGACAATAAAATGAAGGTGAGAAGAACCATGCACATCACCCAGAATTCCTTTAAGGAAGACTTGGATAAAATTTTGTTGTTGTTGTTGTTCAGTCGCACAGTCGAGTCCGACTCTTCGCGACCCCATGGACCAGATCACGCCAGGCCTTCCGGTCTTCCACTGTCCTCTGACGTTTGCTCAACTTCATGTTTGTTGCATCTATGACACTGTTTAACCATCTCATCCTTTGCCGTCCCCGTCTTCTTTGACCTTCAATCTTTCCCAGCATCAGGGTCTTCTCCAGTGAGTGCTCCCTTCTCATTTGGTGGCCAAAGTATTTGAGCTTCAGTTTCATTATCTGGCCTTCCAGGGAACAGCCAGGGTTGATTTCTTTTAGGATTGATTGGTTTGATCTTCTTACAGGGACTCTCAAGAGTCTTCTCCAGCACCATAGTTCAAAAGAATCTATTCTTCGGCGCTCGGCCTTCCTTATAGTCCAACTCTCGCAGCCATACATGACTACTGGGAATACCATTGCTTTGACCATGCGGACTTTTGTTGGCAGGGTGATGCCTCTATTTTTTATCATGCTGTTTAGGTTCACCATCGCTTTCCTCCCAAGGAGCAGGCGTCTTTTAATTTCATGGCTGCTATCACAGTCTGCGGTGATCTGGGATCCCAGATACGTGAAGTCTGTCACTACTTCCACGACTTCCCCTTCTATTTGCCAAGGAGTGATGGGGCTGGATGGGTGGGACTAGTGATTGTGAAAATGACTAGGTGCTGTTTGAATGTTTGAACATAGCGTAAACCTGCACTTTGATGTATTGTTTTGGTGAAACCTAATGTTTGATAATACTGACACCAGTATTTATGTAATAGTATAGAAAAAAATTTTAAAAGAAAAATAAGAAGCACAAAATAGATCTACCTTAAGCATACATCTATTATGTTGTTGTTGTTCAGTCGCACAGTCGAGTCTGGTACTCCCATCTCTTTAAGGACCTGCCATAGTTTGTTGTGATCCACACAGTCAAAGGCTTTAGCATAGTCAATGAAGCAGAAGGAGATGTTTTTCTGGTACTTTCTTGCTTTCTCCATAATCCAGCGAATGTTGGCAATTTGATCTCTAGTTCCTCTACCTCTTCGAAACACAGCTTGTACTTCTGGCAGTTCTCTATCCACGTACTGTTGAAGCCTAGCTTGTAGGATCTTGAGCATGACCTTGCTAGCGTGTGATACGAGTGCAATTGTGAGATAGTTTGAACATTCCTTGGTATTGCCCTTCTTTGGGATTGGAATGTATATTGACCTTTTCCAATCCCGTGGCCACCGCTGCGTTTTCCAAATTTGCTGGCAAATTGAGTGCAGCACTTTAACAGCATCATCTTTTAAGACTTTGAATAGCTCAGCTGGAATACCATCACTTCCACTAGCTTTGTTGTTAGTAATGCTTTCTAAGGCCCATTTAACTTCACATTCCAGGATGTCTGGCTCGAGGTCAGTGATTATACCGTCGTGGTTGTCAAGGACATCGAGGTCTTTCTTGTATAGTTCTTCTGTGTATTCTTGCCATCTTTTCCTAATCTCTTCTGCTTCTGTTAGGTCCCTACCGTTTTTGCATGGAACGCTCCCTTGATTTCTCCAATTTTCTTGAAGAGATCTCTAGTCGTTCCCATTCTATTGTTTTCCTCTATTACTTTGCGCTGTTCATTCAGGAAGGCCTCCTTAATAAATGGATAAAATGCACTAAAGCAAATGAAAGATAATGGCCATCTTTTCAGGAAGTAGGGTTATGGCTTACTGTTAAGGGAAGAGCTATAATTAAGTGGCAGAGAAATGCTTTTAATCCACATCCATTCCTATGCTCAGCCCTAAGTAACTTGAACCAAAAGATCTCCACTGGACCTAGGAAAGACTTCTACCCAAAATCTGAAAAGCCCACTATTTCTTATGTTTGATAAAAGTACACTCTATGGAACACTGGCTTTACTCAGTACAAGGCTTCTCTAATCAGATCATATAAATGCTGACTTGTTAATAAGACTTTTATGAAATCTCATGTCCAGCCAGAATGTGTTACATTCTGTGCCTGATTTTGCCATTTTATACTCATAACCAGGCTAAATATTAATAGCTGTCTCTCACTAGTACTTTGTCATATTATTCAGCTCAGAGATTCAGATATATTAAGGCTTTGGCAATATTCCACCTACCAGAGACCCACATTCATCACCTTGGCTAGATCTCTTTGGACATTAACCTTCCTTCATCACTACTGAAGTCTCTCACTATTCAAGGGCATCAGCTGCTTCCTTTACTTTAGATAGATTGGTCTCCCTTTTCCCTTTATAATCAAGACGAAATACTTGCATAAAAAGGCCTTTTTATCTAAACGGGATTTTGTTTAAAAAAATGCATGTTACCCTCTGCATAGAATATTGACTGTAACCAAACCTTTACGGAAGGTAATATTGTTTAGTTGTATGGATTGCCAGTTTTCTGACAGTTATTGGTCCCTCATGAATACCCTCAAAGTATTTTTTAATACACAGAGAGTGCTACATTCCTATTGGAGTACTGTGTATTTAAATACTTTTGTATTCTTTATTATGCCTCTATCTGTGTATGGAAAACACCATAGCAAAATTAGACTTGAAAGCTATTACAGGCCTATAGCTGAGGACAGCAACAGTCTGCCATCAAGCCTGGCCTCCCCATCTCCTCCCTTCCAGAGAAGGCCATGGAATATTCAACACCATCTGATTATTTTGATATTGCTGCTTTTACTGTTTTTAAATTTTATTGTGGATATATATTTATCCTATTTATTGAAATTGCATTATAACTGTTGTTAAGCCCCTGGGCCCCAAATTGGGGAAGGGCTGTATATAAATCAAATAAATAAATAAGACAGAAAGACAGATTTTAAAATGACCCAACGCTGGCAGGTCCCTAATTTTGCAGATTCATTATATAAAGTCTCCAGTTACTATCTCTAAATTCTACACACAGCACTGCTTAGAGTGCCAGACGAGGATCTGGAAATCTTATAGTGCCATCATAATCAGGTCTACACAAAACCCAGCAAATATACTCAGGCCCCAGTCACATGGGCCAAATAACGCGGGGGTGGGTCTGGCTCTTTGCGGCAGTACAATTAGATCCACCAGAACGTGATCAGATGTGACGGCGGCACACCGCGGTTTCGTCCATCAGTGCGTGCGCGTCAAGGACAGCCGGGGGGAAAGCTGCGTGCTGGCACGATCACACAGAACGATTCCGTGGGCAGCCCGTGGCAAACTATTTGCTAGTACATTTGTTGAGATACTTTTTAAACTGCGCAGCTTTGGCGGCATGCCACAGGTTGGCCAAGGGTGCGCTATGCCTGCCAGATGTTGCAGTGTGATCGCGTCCTGAAAATCCGCCCAGCATTCGTGTGGCTCTCCCGTGGCAAATTCCGCGTGTGAATGGAGCCTCAGTGGGACTTTCTCCCAGGAAAGTGTTCTTAGGATTGCACTGCCAAATTCAAAGGCGCACTATACCATGCAGTCACACACACTAAATAATCCACTTCCAATCCATTTTCCAACTGGATTTTGCCAGTGTACACAACTAAAATCCATCTGGAAAGTGTACTGAGGTGGATTGAAATTGGATTATTTAAGTGTGTGTGACTGCAGCCAGGTGTGACCTTGGGCCAGCCATACACTTGAAGCCTAACCTACACTTCAGAGTTGTTGTTAAAAGATGCAGGTCACAGGATATGTAAGGATATCTGAAGAAGTGAGCAGTGACTCAGGAAAGCTCACCCCCTGCCACAACTTTTGTTAGTCTTTAAGGTGCTACTGGACTCTTGCTCTGTCCTGCTGCTACAGACTAATATGGCTACCCATTTTAAACCATCTGATTGATCAGCGATTCGAAGTACAAAATTGAAATGGTGATTCTAGAATCATCATCGATTCCTGCCGTAAACTAAACTTGTATTTGAAGATTGGGGGTGGGGACCCACTCTTGTCAGAAGAATCAAAAAGAAGGGGTAAAACTCGTTTTAAATCACTTTCTTAGTTAAGTTCGTGTAAAACTCTTCTGCTCCTCAGAAATCACTCAGGCAGCCTCTATTACTTTTGCAGTAATACAGAACGGGGGGACGGTTGAGATTTAAAATACATCTCTAAGAAGGGTGGAAGTCTCATCCCACCCCCACCCCGGCCGCCGCGCATTTAGGCCAGCTCTCTCCACAGCATGGGTCGCCTAGGCGCTTTCCGGACAGCCCCAGGAAAAGAAAAGGGAGCACGTGTGCAAAGCAAACAACAAGAAGGACTTGCAGCGGCGACGGAGAGAGCAGCAGGGGCTCTCACCCGTCTGCACCCTATACCCCTACCCATTGAGGTGGCTGGTCCGCGAGTGATTCCCACCGCTCATCTTGCTGCAAGCCGGTAAGAAGTCCGACCCAAAACCCACGTCTCCGCTGGAGAGCCCCTTTGCCGTTTGGCGGGGAATCGGCCGGAGGAAGAGGAGGAGAAAAAGCGGAGCAGAAGGGAAGCTGCTCCAGGAAGCCCAAACGGTCACCAGGGAAACCGGGCGCGGGAAGCGCTTCCTCAAGTCCCATCAAACAGTGCAATCCTGCACAAAGGTACACCCTGCTAACTCAGTTGAAGTCAGTGCGCTTAGAAGGGTGTAACTCTGGTTACGATTGCACTGAAACTCTCGTTAGATCTCTCAGATTCTTGCAGGGCACGCTACAACTTAAACACTGATGGTCTAAAATAAAAACAAAAGCGTTGGTGGACTACATCTCCCAGGATGCATTGCTCTGTCATGCCTGGGCAGCGAAAAGGCACAGAAGTTCTGGCATGCTACGAGTTGTACCACCACCGTTGGGAATCGATGGGGGCCGTCTGCGAGTTTTGGGGTTTTTTTTAATTTAAGGTTTACCTGTTTGCACCTAAGTAACAGCCTCCTAAACCCATGGTTTTAGAAAGATGTAACTCTGCTTAGGACTGAAGTGTGTAAATGTTGGTGATTGCCAGGGGTCATTTCCTGCAGGAGCGCACAGCAGCGGAGCTCTGGCAGTAAAGAGCCCAGGGGGCGGGCACATGTAACAAGCCCCACCCCCTGCTCTCAGCTACCCTCAGTCAGAGCAAGAAGCAGCCGGGTAAGTTGCAGAGCTCCCCCTCTGGCCCCCCAGTCCAAAACAGTCCAGTGGCACCTTTAAGACCAACTTTTATTTAGGTACAAGCTCTCCCTCCTCTGCAAGGACAGATCTGCATGTCCCCCCCCTCCCCCCAATAGCTAGCAATCCAAAACAGTGCAGTGGAGCCTGAGCGGTGGGTGTTGCCTTCTGACACACTTCCGTGATGTCAGGGGGTGTGGCATATGCAAATGAGTTATGCTAATGAGTTATGCTAATTAGCTCCTGCACCTCTTTTTCTACGAAATGACCCCAGGTGATTGCAGGGTTTTCTGTGGCCCCAATCCAGGGCTTTTAGGAAGAAAAAAAAAAGAGGTGCCGGAACCCTCAAGAGGGAAATGAAGTTTTCAAGCTGTATACTGAAAACTCACAAACTTTTAAACATTTCTAAAAGAATTTTGTCGAAGAGGTTCCGGAGCTTTATTCCTGTGCGTTCTCCCAGAAAAAAAGCTCTGCTCCAATCTCGTAGGGTTGCCAGCTCCAGGTTGGGAAATACCTGGAGATTTTGGTTGTGGAGACTAGATGGTGGGGTTTGGGGAAGGGGGGAGTTCAATGGGGTGTAATGCCAAAGTGGCCATTTTCTCCAGGTGTACTGGACGCTTGGAGATCAGTTGTACATTATCGCAAGGGATCTCCAGCCTCCACCTGGAGACTGGCAAGCCTGAGTCTCAGGAATTTTCTTATTAGGTTCTTAGACTTTTAAAGCTAACTCATCAATTGCTTGATAATAGAACAAATTCCTTGAGAAGACGTTTCGGATTTCTCTGTATGATTGATTATGCTTAATATGTACTGTAAAGTCACAAGTGACTTATGGTGACCCCAGCAATGGGCTTTCAAGGCGAGTGAGAAGCAGAGGTGATTCGCCATTGCCTTCCTCTGTAGAGTCTTCCTTGGTGGTCTCCCATCCAAGTACTGACCCTGCTTGGCTTCCAAGATCTGCTAAGACTGGCCTATACCAGGGGTCCCCAACCTTTTTGAGCCTTCCAGGCACCTTTGGAATTCTGACATAAGGTGATGGGCACACCCACAAAATGGCTGCCGCAGGAGGCAGAACCATCCACAAAATGACTGCTGCAGCTAACCTTCAGTCATACAGTGAAGACGTTCCTTGTGCTGCGGTGGCAGCTGCTACCAAAGTAGGGATGCCAGCCTCCAGGTGGGGCCTGGGGATCCCCTGGAATGACCGTTTGTCTCCAGACTACAGAGATCAGTTCGCCTGGAGAACATGGATGCTTTGGAGGGTGGACTCTATGGTACTGTACCCCACTGAGGTCCCTGTCCTCCCCAGGCTCCATCCCCAAATCACCAGGAGTTTCCCTACCCATCCCCCACCTATGGCCAGGGGGGACTTGGCAACCCTATACCAGACGAGTTGTTTTTTTTTTTAATATACACAGGGGAGGGACTTCAGTGGGGTATAATGCCATAGAATCCACCTCCTAAAGTGGCCATTTCCCCCAGGTGAACTGATCTGTCACCTGGACATCAGTTGTAACCAATGCTCCCTCTAAGCTGTGGAGTCTTGTGAGCAAAAATTCTACTTTGTGAGCTACTGGCATTAAAGTTATGAGTGAGAGATTTGGCTACTGCATAAATGAGTTTGCTCCGGAGCCATCCTTCCTGAGCTAAGACAAATACGTGTGAGCCGGAGGCTAAAAAACTGTGAGCTAGCTCACACTAACCCAGTTTAGAGGGAACACTGGTTGTAATACCAGGAGATCTCCAGCCACCACCTGGAGGCTGGCAACCCTAAGTTGGATACATTTCATTTCATTCCGTTATACGGAGCAGGTTACAATGCAGCATAATTTTTTTCCATCTGTGCTGCTTATAGATGGTATAAAGATGAAAGAGGATCCACATAGTATTATTTCCTTAATTGTTTCTATAACGGAGGGTCTAATGCAATCCTTCTCATTACAGTTTCTCTTATGGACAGATTATGAATTCTGTTAGATGTACCAAGAAGAGAACTGCAAGGAGAAACTGGAAATGCCAGGGGGGGGGGGGGGGGGGGGGAGGCTTGTGGTAGACTGAAACCGTGGTTGCCTGCAGTTCATATTCCGGGGGAAAGAAGACAGAGGAAGGTATTGCAGATGGGTTCCGGAGACCCCACGTTAAGCATACCCTGCTTGGAACCATGTGGGTATGGGACTCTCTTGGGCCTTTGCAGTCATTAGCTACGTGGCAGGTGAATGTAGGCAGCCAAAGGCTACAGCTGCTAGTGGGAGTATAAAGGTAAAGGTAAAGGTTCCCTTGCTCGAAAGCCAGTCGAATCCGACTCTAGGGTTGCGGTGCTCATCTCCGTTTCAAAGCCGAAGAGCCAGCGCTGTCCGAAGACGTTTCCGTGGTCATGTGGCCGGCATGACTAAACACCAAGGCACAAGGAACGCTGTTACCTTCCCACCAAAGTGGTACCTATTTATCTATTTGCAATTTCTTGCTTTCGAACTGCTAGGTTGGCAGGAGCTGGAACTAGAGACGGGAGCTCACTCCGTCTTGCGGCACCCTGGGTCTCGAACTGCTGAACTACTGACCTTCCACAGCCTGCAGTTCAGCGTCTTAACCACTTGAGCCACCGCAGCTCCATAGTGGGAGTATAGGAAGCCATATAATAAACTTAACAACTACAATGAATGCTGATTTAATAAGCCAAGACTGTGTAGGCCCTCTCAGATCTAGAATTACAGCTGACTATAGAGATAAGTACCCCTGGAGGAAATGGCTATTTTGGACGCTAGACTATGGCCAATCCCACCATCCCTATGCTCCACCTCCAAATCTCTGGGAATTTCCCAGCCTGGAGTTGGCAACCATATCTCAGAGGTCCGGAGAGGCCCAGACCTCTGACAACACATGAGCACATAAAAGACAAGGTGTAAAAGTTATCAAATGCCAAAAAAAAGTAACCAGTGTCTACATTTGAGTACCCATTTGAGTTAGAGGCCTAGGTCAAATGACCTTCTGCTCCCATCATTGGCCCTGCTGGTGTTTAACCTTTTTTCCCTTACATCTTTTTAAAGCCACTCCCCCCCCCCCCGAGCTGAGATGTGTCATGAGAAAAAAGCATACAGGTATCTGTGTGTTCCTTGTTGGTTTTGTTTCTGTAGGGGAAATAGAACCTTAGGGTGAGGTAATCATTGAGATTTGGAAAACACATGGAGGAGAAAGGCTTAAACTGTCCTCATCAAACTCTGCAGTCCCAATATGAATCCTATATACACTAAGAGAGAGCACTGCTGTTAGCCTTCTGAAAAACTGAGAAATTCTGATCACAGATCCCTTGGGTCATGACTAGTTTAACCTTAAGGAAGGGCATTATTTGAATGAGATGAGATCAAGGTCTTGGTCATTGTATTCATAATTTCTTTATCACTCTGTCCCCAAACTGAGGGAGACAATGGCTCTATACACTGTAGATGTATCATCTCAAGTCCTTTGGTGGCTCCTCTGTCTTTAAAAGTCAGATAATCTCTGGGTACCACTAACTGTGCATTTCTTCTCTTCGATCAAGCACAATTCACCCCCTGTAGAAGTAGAATTTTGCCCTTAGCCTTTACAGAGAAAGTGAGACGAGGAGGGTGTTTATCTCTTCCTGGGAATGTGACAGTGTCACTAGAATTCGACTCTTTAAAGTCACCTTTAAAGTAGGTGTAAGCTCTGAAGAACAGGGTAAGGTGAAATATAACTCTCAAGTAAGTTCTTCACCCTTTCTTTCATTTTCTTTTTTGGCTGACATTTCAGCACTTTCATCATTTATTTCCCCCCCTTTGTTCCAGAGAAATACAGAATAACCAAAGAAGAATGAAATATTTCAGGGAACTGTTATATAAAAAGCGGAAAGTTGGAGGATTCTGTGTAGTCTTTTTACATGGAGAGTTCTGCTTAACTGGGCTTGGTTTCCCACAAGTGTACCTACCTATGCTGATCTCAGTGAAGTTGCTGCTATTTCATTCTACCTGCTTCCTTGGCTAGTGAGAAACTTGAAGGGCAGAAAAATCAAACTTTCCTTGCGAGGAACAAGTAATTGGATATTGCACTATAGCAGTCATTCACAGCTGGATTGGCATGTCCACACAGGACAATCCCATTCCGAATTATTGCTAAAGCACAAGGGTAGTACAATGTAATGAGGTGTGGATGCAGTCCAGTAGTATTTTTTATAATAATAATAAGATTGAAGGTCAAAGAAGACAGGGACGGCAAAGGATGAGATGGTTAGACAGTATCATAGATGCAACGAACATGAAATTGAGCAAACTTCAGAGGACGGCAGAAGACAGGAAGGCCTGGCGTGATCT